GGGGGGGGGGGGGGGGGGGGGGGGGGGGGGGGGGGGGGGGGGGCGTACCGAAAAGGTCCCCCGAGTGCCGCTTGATCGCTCCGGCCGCGACCAGTGCACCGAGGTAGGCAACGATTCCCGCCAAACCGGTCATGCACCTGCGGACAGGAACAAAAACACAGATTGGATCATATGCATACGATCGGACCCAACTTCATCTGAATCAACTTGGGCCCCAAAGTCCTGCACCGCCGTTGTCTAGAGGTGATGCGGGAATGCGATGGAAACACCATCATCTGGCTGCTCCGCTGTGGTTGCGGATGATGCAAGTACTGTACCATGATGACAGCGGTGTCACAGCTAGTCGCAGCGTCGTAAGCGTGGAAATCTGCACCAACCACGGGCGTTGAAGACGGTGAATGCGTGTTTATTGCATGCCGGGTGCGCGTACTGTATAGACCCAGTTTCAAGAGGCTGCAGAGGCGCTTGTTTCCCTTGGTTGGTCCGACTAACTAACCGGATGGTCCATATTACCGGAATGCCGTTTTTTTGGTTCTGAAAAAATAGTCTTGTTTGCTTGAGAACAACGGACATCTAGACGTACATGTATGTAACCTTTTTCGGGTAGTTGGCGTGTGACCACGGAAGGCGTCAGTTGGCCGACATGGACACAACAGAAAAATATCTGAGAAGGAGAGCGGAATGGTTTTCAACGTGAAGCCAACAACACAGCCTCCCATGGAAGCGTTGCGGTTGGACGTTGGAAGAAGAAACGGATTCTTGGTCCTTGACACGGATATACACCGCGAATGTGTACCGCGTAAATGAGAAAATGATTCCTTGCGATGCAACTATCGGACCGATTTCGTCTTCAGGAGTCCCCTCCAGCGAAGCGAGAGCGAGTGCACGTCGACTAGCCTGAGCGTTTCGTGTGCTCTTGTGGAATGACTTGGGGTGGTTGGTCCCTTTGTAGCGATGCACGCCTTGCCTTCAACCAGGGTGAACACGAAATCAGGTACCAAGCCGTTGCGCACCGCATATACCACATCCAAAAGCACACACACACAATCACATGCATACAATCATGAACAAATGGGCTTGTGTTAGAAATGGCCAACCGTTCTCAACACGCCATCACAAAGGTATATTGGCCAAGCATCCTTAATAAATTGTCTATGAATGGGGTACAGCTGTACCCACGGCGACTATATATAGGGTTTAGTGAGTGACTGAGCGCCTGCTCTTTGGCCAAGTTCGTCAGTCGGATCTTGTTCTGTTTGTTGTTTGTCGCTACGGCGTGTCTTTCTCTGCCTGTGTCATTCTTCTCCTCTTTCCCTTCTCTCCATCTGCTCTCTTTTTCTTCTTCTTTCTTCTTTTTCTCTTTTTTTTTTTTCCAGTCTAGGGTTACCCCCATGGCATACACGTGTAGCGTGTTGTTGATGTTGTTGTCTTCACATAAAAAACCGTTCCGATCTTTCTCTACCCAGTACCTTCGTATGTCCGTACTGATACAAGACTCGACGCGGTCGATTCCCGTGGTCGCAGGCTAACTTACCCTGAAAAGGTACACTCAAGTAAAATGGCCCCGAGGGGTCCGCAAGTCAATAGAAATCAACGCCAGATATTCTAGAGTCCTCCACTCCCTCTGCTATGCAAGGTAACAACTGAGACTAGGGGTCACCATCACGGTCGCCCCGGTGGTCTAGTGGGTAGCCTCGCAGCCTGCTAAGGGCCAGGTCATGGGTTCGAGTCCCGGCAGAGGGAGTTTTTTTCTCACAAAATAAATCCTGGTCTAAGATGAAAGCGACGCGCTGCAAAGCTCGTTTGTTAGTAAACCATAATCGACTTCGTAAGTCGCGAGGGAAGGGATTGCTGTACCCTTCTCGCGATAAAAATACCTCAGGCATGANCAGGAGGGGGTCCAACCCCCCCCTCCTATGTGACCCCGGTTGGGTCGTCTAGCTTGTAGAGGTGGAGGATAGGGGCCAGAAGGGCAGACGACAGAGTCCAATGATGGGAGAAAAACAAACAAACAAACAAACAAAAACCCCCTTGATTCAATCTTGGTACTTCACAACGCAAGCAGAAATAAGGCCATCTGGCACAGAAAAAGAGAGAAAAGTGAACAAAAGAAAAAGAGAAGAAAATAAATGGAAACAGTAAGGAAAGAGAAAATGAAATACAAAGAGCGAGGACAAAAAGGACCAGGCCGAAAATAACAAGAAATAACAGACAGAAAAAAGGCACACGGTGGAGAGACCACTAACGACAAGCAAACACGCAAACATGGCCACCAACCAGCGATACATTGTAATGATACGTCATCACTAGTGGGGGGTTGGTGCAATGGTGCAGCGTTGGGGGGGGGGCGTACTCATTTGTGGCTTGCCGTAGTCATTTGACCATTGACCACGCGTCCCTTTCGAGACGGAGCACCGTTCCTACCCCTACTAGAGACACCACCAACATTTGGGAGCTCTTTACGTTTCTGCCACAACCTACATAAAAATTCCTTGCACATGTTATCCCCGTCCTCTACGGCCTCTTGTGCCCACCATCTATCCCCAATTACCGCGATCGTTTTTTCGCTGTTGTCTAATTTACCAAACTTGTCCATGTCACACCCTATCTGTCTC